AATAACATAATATTACAAAAATATTTATATATGCTATTCAACTATCAATTATTTGTTAGATAATTGAATATCTTGACTTCTCCTTCATTTAGGCATGGGTGCATCCATCAAGATGAAGACGTGAAGCAAGAAAGAAGAGAGAGAGAGAGAGGAAAAAATCAACAAAGATGATATTTCACATTTGACAAAGTTTAAAATAAGTAAAAGTTATATTTGAATAAGTTCTTTTTCAATTTTAATAAAAAATACTCAGGGTGTGTCTGGGCCGCTGCGCTGGGCGCATGAAAAAGTTTAATTTCGACCATTGAAAATAAAAAAAAGGGCCGTTGCTTCTTCTTTTTATTCACGTTAATCTGACATCAAGTCATACCATTATAATCCATATGCCCAATTTGCCCTCCCCTCATTACACGCCTCACGTTGAATTTGGCCATAAAATATTAAAGTTGGTGGGCCATGACATGAGACATGCACATGATGCATTTGATCAAAGTTTTCAGAATCTGAGGTGAGAGAAAAGATTAAAAAAAGCAGCTGGAGGAGAATTTGGTAATTGAATGCCTTTCTTTCTTATTGCCGTGCAAGAGTTTCCTGCCAATGGACCCCGGTTGACAAGACATGAAAGTCGATTTTTTACTCCAATATTGCGCCCAGACACAATCTTAATCTGTATACAATTCTGAAGTTGTTAAAAAATAAAAATAAAATAGTTTAAATTCACTTATTTGCTTATAGGTAAACTTATTAACTTGAGCGAGATATGCTCTTAAACGACATTTCACGATTATGCGAAAAGGGGAGTTGGAAATTTATTTTTTTGAGATCAAGAGCATCTCCAATGCATTATATGCATTGCAATCTATATGACATTTAAATAAATCGGTTTTCAGTCGATGTGGTAGGGATGTCAATGAATAGATTATAGATGGTTAGGTTTAAAAATGATCTAGAGTGTCTCATCGATATTTCAATATTTTCACCTTCGTGTCTTTTATTAACAATAAAATAAAGATAAAAAAAAAAGAATAAAAGATAAAGAAAATCGAATGTTCTAAATAAAGAAAAATAATCAATTAAATTGTTGAGTCATAATGTCTAACAAAACATCTACATCTAAACTCCGTTATATACATTGTCTACTTTTTGTGGATCACTAGCTTGACGGAGTCCTTTTCATCTTCCATTGAAGAACGTAGTCCACTTTCATAGTCACGTATGTAAATTTTTTTTTTAATCAATTCACGGTTACATTAAAGATGCTCTAAATTCTTCAACAATTCGGTCGAGTCTATCCATTCCGCAAAAAATGGTCTTTTTCTCATTTCGTAGAGACAAAGACCCCCCCGCATAAGGTCAGACTAAATTTCGTCGAAATTTAAAAATTATTGTCACCTTTTTATTATTTTATAACAACTTGTTAAGAATTGTCCCAAAATCTAGTTTAAAATAAATAAAGGAAGGCCAAATATTTATGAACCCCAGCCACAATTTTCCATTAAAACAACTGTCAGTTATGAAAGGCACATAATCTTGGTTTATTTTTGCCAGTAGAACCACAGCTAATACACGATCACTCAGTTCCGTCCTTTTTGGGATTTCTTTGTTTTGACCACCTTAAATAACAAGCATATGATTCCGTGGTTCGAACCATGATAATGAATAGTATTATATAAGATAACATAAAAAAAATCGAACGCTATCCCTTCCAGCACATGAAACATGTCATTCATGACGTCCCTCTTAGCAAATAAGAACTTGAAACATATTCAAAACTCGGCATCATATGTGTAGCGTTTGGTGGCGACAATATTAATATTATCCTTTACTCACACCGTACTAAATTAATCCACGCAATAACATGAGTTTAGACCATATTTTTTTGTTATGAGTAAATAAGTTGGTTTAAATTAAGAAAGAGCGATTTCAAATAGTAAATTTACTTTTTTTTTATTTATCAAAGTTAAAATAAGTGGATTTTTTCTTCTGACATAAGAGTTACTTTAACAATTTTCTTTTTATTTAAAGTAACTGTAGACAAAAATTTGAAAATGTAAATTTTTAAATATGTATTTTTATAATCTAAATAAAAAATAAATTACTGATTTCAGCATAACCATAGAAATTATTTCCAAGACAGTAAATTTTTACTTATAAATAAAAATGTACCTTTACTTTTCTTTTTAGTTGACTTGTATCTTTAATAATTTTTACATTTTTTAATACGGCATCACATAAACATGACACGTAACATTACATTTATATCAACCCTAACCCTATCTACTCTAATACAATATAGTATACCTAACTAACCCTTTTGTAAAATAATAATATTATTTATCATCATGATGATAAATCATCGACGATGTTACAGTTTACGTGGAATAATGAGGAGAGAGAGATAATAGATTGTCATATAATCGATAATTTGAAGATAGGGTTAGTTATTATTTGGCCATGGCCCATCCCTGGGCAAGCTGGTCCAGGTGAAGACGACCACGTCCACGTCCGTGGTCGTCTTCACCTGGAGAAGCTTGCCCAGGTATGGGTCATGGCTAATTTCGATCGGAGCTCAACTTATTTGGCGATTTTCAGATTTATGGGCAGTGAACTTTGAGAATCGATTCCGACTACATAGGTTGATGAAATTAGAAGAGGTTGGATGGTAATTGAAGAGGAAGATGAGTGCTTTCGGCCGGTACTAATTTCCGGCGGCTTAGGAGGACGAACGGCGCAGGAATTTGGTTGCAAAGTCGCCGGAAAAATGGACAAAAATGGCTCTTGTTCAAATTTGCGATGTAGGTCCTCATGGTTCAAGTTTCAACTCATTTGGTCCTTCGGTGACCATTCTTGAAACCGACTGATACTTGAGTGACCGTTAGTGCAATTTTGTAATTTCAGTGACCGTTTTGGTATTTTGATGTAACTTGAGTGACCATTTGTGAAATTAACCCATTTTTTAATACAGCATCACATAAACATGACACGTAACATTACATTTATATCAACCCTAACCCTATCTACTCTAATACAATATAGTATACCTAACTAATCATTTTGTAAAATAATAATATTATTTATCATCATGATGATAAATAATCGACGATGTTGCAGTTTACGTGGAATAATAAGGAGAGAGAGATAAATGTGAGAGATAATAAATTGTCATATAATCGATAATTTATTTTCATGATAATAAATAACATTACTCTTTGTAAAGTCGTTAGGATTGCTAGGTATTTAGGCATAATCGCTATATTGAATTAAACTTGACTTGACGGGACAAAATAATATTGTCACACCAGGGGGAAGTGGACATGAGGTGATTTTTGGACACAACCATTTGAACAAAGTAAAGGGTTCAGATGTTCCAACCAAAATTGTGGCTCTTAAAAGTATCTGCATTCAACTGGTGAATTCATTCACATTCCTTCGTTGGAAATTTCAACAAATCATTCATGACTAGTTTGGCATTTAGTCAATAGTAGATGAGATAATTTACAATTCAATATATTTTATATTTTAGAATACTGAATAATCAATAAATTTTGTAACGTCCAGTTAATTAAGTTTAACTTAGGGTGCGTTTGATTGCAATGGTAGAAAATTGATAGAAAGAAAATATTTTATAGGGAAAAGATTTGTCTAAAAAATGTTATGCAGGGAAAATGATTTCAAGTGTGTTTGATTGGTATAATTTTCCACCCAAAAAAAGTTTGAAATTTTGGATTTTTTTTGTTCACGTTTGGCTTTATTTTACATGGAAATTGTCCATTACAGTGATTTTTTTTTACAATTGCTTATGAAATTTGTTACCATTGCTAAAAAGTAAAAAAAAAATTTTTGCTATAAAACTATTTTTTCATCAAAGTTTAGTATTCGTTTAACTTCGTTTTACATGTAATTTGTTTATTGAAGTGATTTTTTTTTTTACAATTGGTTATGAAATTTGTTTCCATTACAAAGCCAAAAAAAAAAAAAAAAAATTGGAATAACTTTTCCCACCAAAATGGTGGGAAAACAAATTCACCGAATTCAAGGAAACAGTGCACGCGGGAGGAAAATGAGGAAAATCAATTACCTAGAAAAAAATGCTTATCAAACAAGCCAATTGGGTGGAAAAGGAATCATTTTCCATTTTCCAAGGAAAATTGGAGCTATCAAACACAACCTTATTGTACTAAGAAAGAAAATCATGCAAATAATCAATTTCAAAGCATTAATCTTAAATAAAGTGTGTGATAACACTGGCGTGGCTACTAGACATTTCAAAAGAAATATGTCTAATTTCTCCCATCCTCTCGAAGAGTTCAATTTCGAAACTTTATTCGCAAAGTTAGGGCAAATAGGTAAAACTTAACCGATAAAATCGACAATGTATCGGTGCCATAGAGTTTAATTTGATATACGACTCGAAATGTAATTCTAAAGTAGATAATTAACTCGATTACGATGAGGAGTTGAATGCGATTTTCCTTAGACCCTGTCAAATCATACGCAAATACGAAATAACACCGTCATCAAAATGAAACAAGAATCTCATCCATATGTAATTTTAAAATAACTAGCCTTGCTTGATAGAGACTAAAATTTGATTTTCAGTAGATTTTAATAAAAATTGATGAGATACGTGGTTGAAAAGTTGTGGATTTTATAAAATGTGTAGTTAAAATTAATTGTTGACCTTATCTTTAAATTTTGATGAGATTTTAATCCAAACCAAACAGAGCCTAGTTAACTCGATCGACGTCAAAAATATCTCCATAACTCAAAATATCGTGTGAAGGCCACACGCAATTATAATCCACCAAACTCCCACGTTGCCAACCGTATCCACCTTCATCCATTAATTACCCCCACTCACCCCCTACCCCCTCACAAACAAAATGTATATTCTATATATTAGCATATACATAGTTACGAGAGAGAGAGAGTGAGTGAGTGAGAGGTCCCATATTCCATAATTTCTGTCTCTCGTCCTTTGGAACTTTTCTTTAGGGAAAATGGAAGTTCAAGGTGCAGGCAAGGGTGGTGGCTACGGAGGAATAGAGGGCGGCGCAAACGGCGGAGGGAAGGAAGTGATGGTGGCGAATAGAAGAAGATTGAGGGGTTGGGATTTTGTTTTGAGGTTTTTGGCTTTGGGACTGACACTTGTGGCGGCTGTACTCATCGGAGTTGATAAGCAGACAAAGATGGTTCCGTTCACGTTGGTGCCGACGCTGCCGCCTGTGAATATTCCGGTCACCGCCAAATGGCATCACATGTCTGCGTTCGTGTAAGTATTTCTTACACTCCCTTTGCCCCTTTACATAAAAATTTAAGTTATTATCTTTAACAAGATATTTATCCTTTTATCAGGCATTTGACACATATATAATTTTCATAAACGAGCAGCGAGATAATTTGAACTCGAAATTTGTCTTTTTATTTAATGATTTTTCAGGTACTTTGTGGTGGCAAATGCAATAGCATGTTCATATGCAGCTATATCATTGATCTTAACATTGGCAGGAAAGAAAGGTCTAACGGTGGTGATAATCATATTTGACCTAGTTATGGTGTCGCTGCTCCATTCAAGTGGTGGTGCCGCCTTGGCCGTGGGTCTGCTCGGCTACGAAGGCAATTCACACGTGCAGTGGAAGAAGGTGTGTGGTGTGTTCGGAAAATTCTGCAACCAAGCGGGGTAACGGTAATCGGACAGATAACATGCTGCTGTGTTGTTCTTCTTGCTCGTAGTGCTTGCCGCTTTGCACCATCACAAGAAAAATTAGTGTAGTACACGATGGTCGACTAGGATTCGACATAACATATTTATGTTACTACATTGTACGTTAATGTGTTGATTTAGCGTTTATGAATTTATGTCTTCATAAAATTATTAATGTGCGGATGTTCTTGTGAATCATCTGTTGACCATAAAAGGGTGCCGTTTTGTGAAAACAAGACATCCATCGCGAGTTGCGAATGGTGCTAGGTTTCATGTACTTTTGGTGTTTTGTGAAATTGAGTCATGTTGATATGTTGTATTGAGATTAATCCAACAATATGTCGAGACAACGGAACCAAAATTATTTACAACTAATCTTTTTTCTATGGAACATGTGACGACTGTCGAGCAAAAATGGTTGTAGAAAGTGAACCACAGCCTCAAATTGTTTGAGATTTAATTAAATACAAAAACAGTGAAAAACTAAATTTATTAGTTATGACAAACGTTAAAACGTAGTTTTCGATGGTTTGAATTTAATTATCAAGTGTTGACTTTTAATGTGATTTTACAGACTTCACGCTCAATTTTAATGCTTTCACCTACCTTTGGAGTATACGAATAAGTGAGTTTGTTGAGACCAATACATCATTTACATATTTTAGTAGAATAATTCGGAAGTCCGATTTTATATAAAAAAAATGAAAAAAGTAAAAAACCATTTGAAACAAGTAAAAATTAGTTGTTTCCAAATTCTACTCTCCAAGTTGATTTTCAAAGAACTGCAACATAGATCGATGTTAAACAATAATTAGATCAAATATTATTACTCATTTCAAAACATGGATCAAGGCTTGATATGACAAAGAAACCCGAACAAATCCGATACTCGCGAAGATAACCTGCTTAATTGGGTATTCGGGGCGGGGACAGGGACGGGGAACGGGGGCCCCTCCCTATTAAATTTTTTTTTTTTGAATTCAATACTTTAAATTAAAATTTTTATTAGTTCTAATAGAAAATAGTAACTAAAATTATTTGTCTAAATCTAATGAATATGAGTAATAAAAATAAATTACAAAAAATAAAAAATTTTAAACGAGTAGTAAACGGGGCAAGGATTCCCCCCGCCTTAAACGAGTAACGGGGCGGGGAGGCCCCATTGCCATCCCTAGATCATCAAGCATGAGGGTGACAAGTGAGCATAAGCTGAGTAATGAATCACTTGTGTGATTCTACCCTTGTTCTTTGTTGTTCATACTTATTTTTAACTATATATTTATAAAATAAAATGTTTAAAACATCATTTTTTCTTAATTTCTATTTATAATGGTAGTCAAACATGGGCTCTGTTCGCCCGCATCATAACCGAGGAGTGAGTTGTTGACTCGAGTTGGAGTTTGATTGAATGAGCCACGAGTTGAACTTGATAGTACATTGGGTTGAGCCACTTGTCTTAATACTTCTAATTAAACGTGATGTAAATTAAAAAATAAAATTTATAAAATACACGTGGCGGGAAATTCACACATACGTGGCGGGAATTATTAATACCAACAAACAAATTCCAAAATCGCATTTCACTGTATAAAATATAATCGTTCTACAAATTTGATATTTCCCCATTTCACTTCTCTAATATTTCCGTTGGCGAATCCCTTTTCCTCTCCTTAAAGAAATCCAAACCCTCGAGAGAAGCAATGGCGAAGCACTCGAGAGCGATGGAATCCTCGGACGACGCCATTTCGGGATCCTCGGAGGAAGAGCAGGTCAACGACCAGGTCATTGATGAAGAGGACGTGGAGGAGCTCGAGGCCGTCGCCAGAACTGCCGCCGAAGATTCGGAGGATGATGACAACGATGATGTCACTATCGGACAGGAGATCGAGGACAATGAGGTTAGAGTGAAATCAATAACTTATGGAGTCAAATGATTTTATTATGATTTGCTTATTTTTTGGTGAATGGAAATGGAGATGGGGCAGATCTGTTTGTTTGGCTTGTTATTGAGTTTTTTTAGTTTGAGATTTTGGTTTTCAGTGGTTTACTATGATAATTTTCCTGGAATTTGTTATTGTTGAATAGAACAAGCATGCTTTGCTAGGCCGTTTGGGTTGGAGTTGAAGTTGAATGGTGTTTAGCTTTGCATGCATTGATTTTTAGGACTTTTTTAGGCGTTTAGCAGTTCTTATGTTATTTGTTTCTAAAATATGTCACGATTACTGGAGAATGAACGAGTAAAAAATATAGAATTTGTAAAGTTGGTTTCTTTTGAGCTTAGATTTGTTAAAATTTAAGCCTTTTTAGTTTTTGACAAATGGACTTATATAGTGAAGTTAATTTGAAGTTCTACTATATCTTGATGTGTTTTTATATTACTTGCAGGAAGACAATTCTGCGTCAAATGAAGTTGCCAAGCGTGAAAAAGCGAGGCTACAAGAAATGGAGAGGTTAAAAAAGCAGAAAATACAAGAGATATTGGATGCACAGAATGCTGCTATTGATGCTGACATGGTGATTACCTGGCATAAATATCTTACTGCTAATGATGCTTTTAATGTGCTCTCTAAGGAATTTTTCTGTTGATATTGGTTTATTTTTGAGCAGAATAAGAAAGGAAAAGGTCGTTTTAAGTATCTCTTGCAGCAGACGGAGTTATTTGCTCACTTTGCCAAAGGTGATCAGTCTGCAGCTCGGAAGAAGGGAAAAGGAAGGTTAGTTGTGCTCATCTATGGCGCACTCCTTCATTTTAATTGCACTGGATGAGACTATCCCTTTACCTAGAGACTTCTAGTGTGATATATGCCGCTGTTAGCTGCCAACTATATTCCAAATTATGTTATATTATTGCTTCACCTGTTTATGGGCTGGTATAGCAGTTGACGTGTAACAGAATTTGACATCCAGTCCAACATGATTTTGGTTGTGTTTGTCCCAATTGTAATTTTTAGTGGTCGCCATGCCTCAAAAGTAACTGAAGAAGAAGAAGATGAAGAATATCTCAAGGAGGAAGAATCTGTCGCCGGAAATACAAGACTAGTGGCACAGCCGTCTTGTAAGATTTTTGCTAGCACTGTTTAAAGTAGCTGCTTTTTTTTTCCCCCCTCTGAAATGATATTCCCTTATAGTGCCTTACAGATTGTAACATTTAAAACAACTGTAATTGATTATGTGGTTCATGGATTGACATGTTTTTGGTTTGCTATGAAAGAGTTTGACAAGAGAAGTTGATACATTTTACTTGACTTTTTGCAAGTTGAAATATTGTTGGTGTAATCTTTAATCCCCATATTTAATGACAGTCTTTATTTAATTTTTTTTACTGGAACTATAAAATATGTATTTGTCTTGCAGGTATTCAGGGTAAGATGAGGGATTACCAACTTGCTGGTTTGAATTGGCTCATAAGGCTGTATGAGAATGGCATCAATGGAATACTTGCTGATGAAATGGTATGAGCAGAGACTAGCATTTGCCATTGAGTAATGCAGTAATGCATATAATGATTTATGTTTTTGTCACTTCAATTCAGGGTCTTGGTAAAACATTGCAAACAATTTCCTTGCTAGGGTATTTGCACGAATTTAGAGGAATAACTGGCCCTCACATGGTCGTTGCTCCAAAATCTACACTTGGCAATTGGATGAATGAAATCAAACGTTTCTGTCCTGTTTTGCGTGCTGTAAAATTTTTGGGAAATCCAGACGAAAGAGTAATGCCTTTTGGTACTAATATAGATATTATTCTCCTTGTCTTAATTTCCCCATAGCTAATTCTCTTTTTTGTGGTGCTCGAATGCCTAATTTCCCAGAAATATATACGAGAGGAGTTGCTTGTTGCTGGAAAGTTTGATGTATGTGTTACGAGTTTTGAAATGGCCATCAAAGAGAAGTCTGCATTGCGCCGCTTTAGCTGGCGATATATCATCATTGATGAAGCTCATCGAATTAAGAATGAAAATTCTTTGCTCTCAAAAACAATGAGACTTTACAACACTAATTACCGACTTCTCATTACAGGAACTCCACTTCAGGTAATCTTGTCGTCTTGCTATCTTTCTGATTACTCCATGAAGTTGCTTCTTTGCACTCTGTACTTTGTACTCCTTAATTGAAAGTACAGTTTGTGAAATATCAGATGACCTTGTGAATGTGATAGTTGTACTTATAGCATATCTACCCAGAGTGAGTGCCATCCAGTGCGTTCTTCAGTGTTCTATATCTTTTGAAACTTCATAGCCTTGCCTTTTTGATTAATGCAATTTCAGGAAGGATCTCATAGATCTGTGATATGAGCTACTGTACTAGGATAGCTTTGCTTGATTTTTGTATGAAGAATTCATTAATAATGTAGAATGAGCAGGGAAAACTGTAACCCTCTTATTCTTGCATGATTCTGTTATGTATTACTTAATGGATATTGGCGGTGATTTATCATCTTTTCATGAGCATTTATTTTTTCATACTTGTTATGTTGCATCACGATTTAATATGAGGCAGACATCAATAGTTTACTGTGTTTCCTTTGTCTTGTTACTTATATTTTTTAGGAGCATTTGGTATGCTTCCTATAAGTATTTATTGTTTGTGACTTGCATTTATTGTTTGCAGCAACTTCTCTTGTTGTGCAGAATAATCTTCACGAACTGTGGTCTCTTCTGAACTTTTTGCTACCGGAGATTTTTAGCTCAGCTGAAACTTTTGATGAATGGTTCCAAATCTCCGGGGAAAATGACCAGCAGGAAGTTGTCCAGCAGCTTCACAAGGTAACCTTAGTTACTCTTCTATATGATACACGTCTCTCATGGTAAAAATGAGTTAGCGTCATTAACTGGAACAATTGAAACTTCATAATAGTAGGCCACTATGGCAGCTTGATATGCCAGAAATTGCCAATTCCACTTCATATTACTTGGTGTATGCTAGATCCATCACATGTCAGAAATTCTTGCAGTACATTTTTAATCAGGGCTAGCTTTTCTAGCATCCTTGTGCATCATATTTTATCTACATTTTAATCAAAATGAGCAACTAACCGAGTAATGGGTCCTGTTTCGCTCATTGTTGCACCCTTATTTGGCTAATCTTGAATTGATGTTATGGCCTTATTGACAGCAATTATTTGATAAGCGGCCTGGAATTTTGTGTTTGGATTTAAAACATAAATTTATTAGATGTCCAAATGTGTTACTTGTGTTTGAGTAACAGTCTGTTTACACATGTTTAATTTGTTTTGTTATTCTGTCTGCAATGTTAGGTTCTGCGACCCTTCCTTCTGAGAAGGTTGAAATCTGATGTGGAGAAAGGTTTGCCGCCCAAGAAGGAGACGATTCTTAAAGTTGGCATGTCTCAGATGCAGAAGCAATACTATAGGGCTCTGCTGCAGAAGGATCTTGAGGTTGTAAATGCTGGTGGAGAACGGAAGCGTCTTCTGAATATAGCTATGCAGCTGCGTAAATGTTGTAACCATCCATATCTATTTCAAGGTGCTGAACCTGGGCCACCTTATACTACTGGAGAACATCTCATAGAAAATGCTGGTATGGGCTCTTTTTCTTTTTGTTATCAACATTGTAGTTGATTGGAGCTACATTTGATTCCTAGATCTCTTTATTTTTGTTATTTTATGAACTGAATTCTTTAATTGCAGGCAAAATGGTTCTTCTTGACAAGTTGCTTCCAAAATTAAAGGAGCGTGATTCTAGGGTTTTGATATTCTCGCAGGTTCATTTCTTTTCCCCCCGACCTAAAACTTCTAGTTTTTTCTTCCATCTGTCTTATTGTACTTTACATATTTGAAAATATTTTGGAGTTCTTCTGTGAAAGTTATGAGATTGACTCAACTAACACCTAGAAGGGGGTGAATAATCAGAATAGGTGTTTGTATGCTGAATTTAAATTTATTAATTAATAACAGCAGCAAGTTATAATTATTAATATTATCTAGATGAATTCACATGCAATACTATTCTAGGTCGAATTACTACAGTTGATATATTGCATAAAAATAAACAACACCACGAAATTGTTGATGGAGATAACTTTCGTGGAATAAAAACTCCGAGCCCAAGCCAGTAGTATCCACTATAAATGTTAAAGACTTATAGATTGTTCAGACTGACTAAACCTTAGTATTTTGTGACCTCCTGACTGTAATCACCACGGCCCTCCTCGACTACATATTCTTGCACCACCTCCCGACCTTCTGGAATCGTTTATTTCTTGTGGATCACCTGAGAACTACTATTCTTCTTCAATCGGAACTTCGATCACTTTTCTCGATCTTCAGAACTCTGACAGACTATGCGGAAGTTGGGTTTTGGTGTTTTGATTATATGGATATGATGTTTTCAATGATTTTGGTTGGATCCATGGAGATTGAATAATAAGTAGGATATGATTGAAGCAATCTCTCTGATAAAATAATATTCAACCCAATCTTTTCACGAAGTGGGGTTTTGATATATATAGTGTTTAGGTTTTAGGGTGGCATAAGATAGAACTCTTGAAAAAACGCAAACTATGGTTTAATGGTTAGCACTGTTGCTCGAGCGAGAGTCCATCGACGGATGAGCGACAGGTGCTTCGCTCGAGCTTTTGTTTTGGACGTTTGAGCAACAACTTGGCGGCAGGCTAGTAGAAATCTGGCAACTTTTTCTTCTTGTATCATAACCGAAAACAAGGACTCCCATTTCATCTATACAACTTAACAATTGACTTCTTGACTTTTAAAACTCTTTTACAACTATATTTTTGTCTAAAAATTGCCAACAACTATAAAATCTAACATTCTGTAAGACTTTTTTGATATGGGTTTCCTCGTTTCCTTTATTTCACTTTTTATTGCGTTTGACAGTTCATTTTGATTTTGTTAATAGATGACACGCCTGCTGGACATTCTTGAAGACTACCTGATGCTCCGTGGATATCTTTATTGCCGAATTGATGGAAATACTGGTGGGGAAGATCGTGATGCTTCTATTGAAGTCTTCAACAAGCCAAGAAGTGAGAAATTTGTCTTTCTACTGTCAACTAGAGCAGGTGGTCTTGGTATCAACCTTGCTACTGCAGATGTTGTCATTCTTTATGACAGTGACTGGTGAGGAATTGCTGCATTTGTTTTGTAATGATGCATTAAGGGCTATAATTTAACATCTAAATGTTCCGAGTCTTGGCTCCATTGAATTGCAGGAACCCTCAAGTGGATTTGCAGGCTCAGGACCGTGCTCATAGAATTGGGCAGAAGAAGGAAGTCCAAGTGTTCCGATTCTGCACCGAGGTTTGGTTTGTTTCAGTGTTATGATTGTATTGCAATTATGCTTTTTGGAGGCATGATGTACTTATGTGCATTGCTAAATCAATCATCTGCAGTATACTATTGAGGAAAAAGTTATTGAAAGGGCTTATAAAAAGCTTGCACTGGATGCCCTGGTTATCCAACAAGGCCGACTAGCAGAGCAAAAGAGTGAGACTTTCTTCTCCTCAGCCTTTCCTCATTGACTACTATCAGAAGTATGCATTTCTTTTTTCAATTTCTTTATGGTGTGTTATGCAGCTGTTAATAAGGATGAGCTGCTGCAAATGGTTAGATTTGGTGCTGAAATGGTGTTCAGTTGCAAAGATAGCACTATCACAGATGAAGATATAGATAGGATTATTGCAAAGGGAGAAGAGGCAACAGCTGAACTCGATGCCAAGATGAAGAAATTTACGGAAGATGCTATCAAATTTAAAATGGACGATAGTATGCCTCTTCTTTAATTGACTTCACTAATTCACGTATTTGATTTTTGTTAGATTCATCTGCTGCTGTTAGCTTGTGCAACTAATAATATGTATTGGATTTTCTGCAGCTGCTGATTTGTATGATTTTGATGATGAGAAGGTCGAATTAATTAATTTTGCTCTTGGTTGTCTAATATGGCTTCTTTTTCTATTTCATTGCTATAGTTCCTTAATTTCTGTTTTGTAAATTTTCTTTTTTCTTGGTTTATAAAGGATGAGAACAAGTTAGATTTCAAGAAAATTGTCAATGATAATTGGATTGAACCATCAAGACGAGAACGGAAGCGCAAGTAAGTTTCTTCAATTGTTGACGTTGTGTATATATATCAAGTGTTTGTTGTCTAGACAATAACACAATTTAGTATGTCGTTAGTTACTCTGAATCCGAATACTTCAAGCAAACAATGCGCCAAAGTGGCCCTGCAAGGACAAAAGAGCCTCGAATTCCCCGCATGCCTCAATTGTAACCATCCTTTTGATTTCTTGTTTACTTAATACTTGTTCATCGACTGTTTCTGCATCTTAAAATGTATCGCCTTTGTCAGGCATGACTTTCAATTTTTCAATAATCAGCGTCTTAGTGAGCTGTATGAGAAAGAAGTGCGCTATCTCATGGTGGGTAATATCTTGGGCTTCTTTTCGATTCTTTGTGTTTGCATCTATTGTAAGGTTCTCTTATTACATTGTCATCATTTCAGCAAGCAAATCAGAGGAATCAAATTAAAGATACAATTGAGTTGGAGGAACCTGAAGGTTTGTTAGCTTCTTTCGTCAAGAATTCATTTTATTGTTTGGTGGTTCCTATTGGACAGTCTTGATGTGCTATTTTCTCTAGACTTGGGAGAGCCGTTGACTGCAGAAGAGCAGGAAGAGAAGGAGCAACTGCTGGAAGAAGTGAGTAGTTTTTCCTAATGTATGCTGTGGGAATTTGAAATCTTCATCTTTGCTTTACCTGATAAATTTTGGTGCATGTAGGGATTCTCGACATGGAGCAGAAGAGATTTCAATACTTTCATTAGGGCCTGTGAAAAGTACGGTCGGAATGATATTCAGAGTATTGCATCTGAGATGGAGGGGAAAACAGAGGAGGAAGTTGAAAGATATGCACAAGTTTTCAAGCAAAGATACAAAGAATTGAATGGTTAGTTGTAATTTTATTAGTGCTTAGTTTTTGTTTTTGAATAAGATTCTAGACGCAACTCGATATTGGATATGTTTAGGCTCTCTCTCAGTGGTTGAAATTAATTATAATATTTTAATTTTGGCAAATGTGATCTTTCCAGATTATGACAGGATTATTAAGAATATTGAAAGAGGAGAGGCTAGAATTTCAAGGAGAGATGATATCATGAAAGCAATTGGGAAGAAATTGGACCGCTACAAGAATCCATGGCTCGAGTTAAGGATCCAGTATGGCCAGAACAAAGGGAAGTTATACAATGAAGAATGCGACCGTTTCATGGTGAGACTTCCAATCATTTTAAGCTCCTTTGAGTTGTATTATAGGTCATTCTGATTTTCCGTCTCGAGTCTGTCTTGTATTCTCTTTTACTGGATCCTTCCACAGATATGCATGGTTCACAAGCTTGGGTATGGTAACTGGGACGAGCTGAAGGCAGCCTTCCGTACGTCACCCTTGTTTCGATTTGATTGGTTTGTAAAGTCACGTACAACTCAAGAACTTGCAAGGAGATGTGATACACTGATTCGTTTGGTGGAAAGGGAAAACCAAGAATATGATGAGAGGGAGAGACAGGCTCGTAAAGAGAAGAAACTAGCAAAGGTTTGTCAACCATCTTTCATGAGTAAAAAGTTCACTTATTACGTAGACAAGTAAGTTTTAAAATAGCAAAAATGCTCTCACTCTTCGAACCCTCTTTTTGTCATTCTCAAGGGGAAATACTAACAAAGCGATGTGGATCATCATCGGAAGCCAGTGCTTGGCCTCCCTGTATTTTCTTAGCTCGTAACCTTTATCATTTTCATTTCTTAATAGAACACGACACCATCCAAACGCGAAATGGCTAGACAAGCTGCTGAGAGCCCTCCCACACAGAAGAAGCGCAAGCAATTATTGATGGATGATTATGTGAACTCAGTACGTAGTTCTCTTTTGTTGGTTTATATCATTTTATTTTTTCTGAAATTGCTTCTACAGCATTCTGTGTGCCTAAACAAGAGCTACGGTCTTTGGCAGGGAAAGAAAAGGAAATGATGTTGACCGATTGGGGCGATCCAACGAGTCGAGTATTTTTGTCATATTGGAATTTCCTAGTTGGGGCACTGGATCCCTGTTTAGAATTATTTTGGCAGAAGCTGCTTCTTGACACGAGTAATGTGGTACTACATCTAGATTGCGAATTAGTGTTGAGCTGTATAAATCTGATGTACACAGATTGTAATGATCTTGTTATGGACTTGCGATGATTCTGAAAATTGTGTTTAGCAGTTAGCAACCTTTGGTGTTCCAGACCAACCATCCCTGCTATCAGCCTATCACTAGGGGTGGGTAAGATTGGTACATGTAATTGGAACAAAATTCAGACATCTTGAAAATCTAGAATATACATACAATAAGATGTTGCGTAGAGCATTTCTTCAATGGGTTAACAATGATTGCCCATAAGGATACCGTTAACCCCTTTCCATTCTCCTCAGGGAATCATTATTTTGCTGCAGTATTCTGTCTATACCGAGCTACAAGAATGATTTGACATGGATTAAGGCCTTCCTCGCAAAAGCCAGATGGAGAGTACAAGATAATGCATCTGTGCAAGTTTTCCGTTATCCCTAATAACCCCAAGAAGATACAATGAGAGTAGGATATCCGTGACATCAAGGTTTTAGCACAATGAATCATTTATAGCATCAAAACTGACAACTGCATTTCCCCGCTTTACTCTCGCCAATTCTCGCCCCCACGCTTTACAACTGCTCGTCCCCTGTATGGATCCTGGTTCCTTGGTGTTGTCTAGCTCTACTCTTGTCTTTCTGGGAATCTGGATCCACAACCATTTTCAGTTCCTCGCAACTATGCACCCGGGTTGAATTCATGGAAAGTACATCTCTTCCAGACGTCAGGCGAAATCTTATTGGTGGAAGCGGAGCCGTGTTGGCCCTGCGACTTGGCTCATCCAGGCCATCCATTCTATCAGACGTGTTCCTTTGGTCGTCCCTAATCCCTATGCCTCGAAGTCGAAAGACCAACTCTGTTAATCTGGGAAGTGGGTGCATTTCGGTCTTAAGTTCGGGATTATATATTTGTCAAGGCAGTAACATCATCCTCTATTAAAGGTCTTGTGGCTGCTTGTTCAAGATCTGATAACTTTGGGGAAATAATAAGATATTGGACGATTTTAAGTCTCGGCATATGACTGGAGGGTTGGCTTTATCATGTTAATACTCCAACGCCTTGGCTGGGCCGGCTGCAATCTTCGTCATCCTATTCCAGTCCATAGATACTTTATCCTGTGAAAGATCTGCATGTCGATAACTCTATTGTTAGGAGCAACAAAAACCAGCCCACTATTATCACAGTCAGCATCCCGATTATCGGAATATGGGAACTTCTAAGTGAGCAGCAAAACATTAGAAGAAAAAGATTAAGAAACAGCAGGAACTTTCAAAGTGCATTTCATCCCAGAATCCCAAAATGATCTCCTACTCATGGGTGGGTAGGATAAAATCCACCTCAGCGGTCAGGTCTACAATTTTTGACAATTCAACGTTGAATTATCAAAAATTGTAGGCTTGACTGTTGCCATATCAGCACATAAATATTAACATTTGGTGCTCCATAGAGTAGTATGTCAAGCTTTCGTACTCCTGGTCATGATTTCATCGACACACACACACATAGAATTAGTCGTTCAGCCTACCTTGAAGTTTAAAAGGTTAACTTATAAGCAAACAAGTAAGTTTTAAAAGAAATTATTTTCATAAATTAAAGTCACAAATTAGTTTCTTATTTTTCTCAATTTATTTAAACACTTAAAATAAAAGAAATTACTCAAAAGTAATTTATACTGACATTTAAGCTTAGTGAATACGGCTAGAATATAATGCAAATTAATTAGCCTTTAGATGCACACAAACCTACATGTCATGTCTAATCTAATCTTAACTACATATAAAAGAGTGAGATTTCCAGTTATTGTTCACAAACCGTGAGCCGAGTCGAGCCAAACGGCTTTATGTATGGCTCGGCTCAGCTAATTTTTTTCCCTTTGATTAGTTTTGTTTACAGTCGAGCCAAATGGCTTTATGGCTCGACTCGGCTAATTTACTTATTATTATTATTATTATTATTATTATTATTATTATTATTATTATTTACGTTTGATTCAGTATTTTAAGTTACAGATATTCGTTTTAAGCGATTTAAAATTTGTTGGAAATGTTGAAGTGCGGCCATGATAAATATATGATCGATAAATTTTAAATATCAAAATAATTTTACATTAATTGTGAAACGTAAAGTCGTGATT